AGTGAGCATGGCGATTCCGAATACAGTATCAGTTTCCAGAATCATCGATTACATTTATCGATTTTATCAATTTTTTGCAAGGTTTGAGCTACAGGGCTGGGAGTTGGCACAAAGGGTAAGTGGGCATGCTGATTCCGAAAACAACACAGGGAGAATGAGGTGTAGAAATGTGGGTACAGGGAAAGGCTTTTCAGGGATGGGGATGGGAACTTTATTACAGTGTCTTGACAGAGCCAAGCGGAGCCGGGTAAGCAAGCTAGGAAAGCATAAATTTTCACCAGAGAGAATCAAACAAAAGCTTCAGGGACGAAACCCGGATGCATAGCTTACATCTAAATCGGTTTAATTGTGGTTGAAGCAAATATAGCGAGTAAATGAAAGTATCTCAGCAAACTAAGAAGTCGCTGTGTAGCCTCTTCGTGCTGAAACAAGGCTTTCATGGCTCCCCTGGAATTGTCAACAAGATATCTCAAATTACCTCTGCTATGACTAAGAATAAGCTTGAATAAACTTATGAGGCTCTAATAGAAGCGAGGAACTGCAAACTTGCGGAGTGTCGCGCGCGTAAATGACTTATCTTGTTGAGGAGTGATCTTTCACTTCGGCGACGTTAGCACTGCTCTTAGTGGTCTCATCACGAACAGAATGATATATAATGTTGGAAATATGATGGTGAATGTTATAATATATAATATTGTTGTTATTCAGAATTCGCAAAGAATTCCAAGCAGAGCGAAATGCCCGTCGGCTCATGCCATTCTTCAAACACCAAACAAAACTCCAAGTAGTGAAAGTGTCTTTTGACAAGGGAAAGATACTTGGTCGAAGTGGGGTTTCCACATGAAATGCACACCATCTAAAGCATGGAACGCTGATTCCGAATCTGTTTCCGGTATCTGCAAAGCGCTTCTGGAAAGGGACTACAAAAATTTTTTCAAGCAAAAAGTCTAACTCGCGGCTACAATAGAATCATTTAAAACTGTTCTGTGAGCTCAAATGGGGCCATTATTACTGCTTCATGCAGTTAGTACCTTCATTTTAAGAAACTGATGCTAGTCATTACTCCTTTCAAGCGCCGGGGATCAAATTTTTTCCCTTAGCCAAACACTTGAGATTTGTCTCAAAAAATTCCCATAACTCTCGTTCCAGATGCTTCGCAGATATGGAAAGCAGATTTGGAATCAGCGTTCCCTATAAGATAGTTCATCATATGGAATTCCCACTTCGACCAAGTATCCTCCATTGTGAGAAGGCTGCATCGAAGAGAAATTTCTTTCCACTAACATTAACTTTATCCTCACCAGTGATTATCATAACTTATAATAACGGGCTAAGGATGTTTACGCGCGTGTGTGTGTGTGTGTGTGTGTGTGTGTGTGTGTGTGTGTGTGTGTGTGTGTGTGTGTGTGTGTGTGTGTGTGTGTGTGTGTGTGTGTGTGTGTGTGTGTGTGTGTGTGTGTGTGTGTGTGTGTGTGTGTGTGTGTGTGTGTGTGTGTGTGTGTGTGTGTGTGTGTGTGTGTGTGTGTGTGTGTGTGTGTGTGTGTGTGTGTGTGTGTGTGTGTGTGTGTGTGTGTGTGTGTGTGTGTGTGTGTGTGTGTGTGTGTGTGTGTGTGTGTGTGTGTGTGTGTGTGTGTGTGTGTGTGTGTGTGTGTGTGTGTGTGTGTGTGTGTGTGTGTGTGTGTGTGTGTGTGTGTGTGTGTGTGTGTGTGTGTGTGTGTGTGTGTGTGTGTGTGTGTGTGTGTGTGTGTGTGTGTGTGTGTGTGTGTGTGTGTGTGTGTGTGTGTGTGTGTGTGTGTGTGTGTGTGTGTGTGTGTGTGTGTGTGTGTGTGTGTGTGTGCCAAAAAAAATTGGTTGTGTAAATGATCAATTTGGCAAGGTTCTAGCTAAGCGTTTGAGAAGATTTTCGCACAGAGATGTAGCTCACGGTTACTATTAGCTCTGTGGCGACTACCAAGCCATGACAAATCCAACCTCAAATTTGCGTTTCTCTTCCTACGAAAAGTTTCATCCACGCGAAATCACCGATCTCACATATAAAAACTTTCTAAATGAGTGGTTGTTTACATTTTATTCGTGGTAGTCGGCATAGCGCGGTGAGTTTCAGTGCCACGATTTTACGAGAATGAGTGAGGACACACACACACACACACACACACACACACACACACACACACACACACACACACACACACACACACACACACACACACACACACACACACACACACACACACACACACACACACACACACACACACACACACACACACACACACACACACACACACACACACACACACACACACACACACACACACACACACACACACACACACACACACACACACACACACACACACACACACACACACACACACACACACACACACACACACACACACACACACACACACACACACACACACACACACACACACACACACACACACACACACACACACACACACACACACACACACACACACACACACACACACACACACACACACACACACACACACACACACACACACACACACACACACACACATAGATACTAGAGCCAGTGCGAGCCTCTGCGAAGCAGAGGTGACGCACTGGTAATTCATAACGGCTATTTTTTCTAAACTGCTCGTGGGTGTGTGTAAGCATTTCAACGAAGGGAGGTTAGACCAAATTTCCTGAGCAGGACCAAATCTCCCAGATCTTCACGGCCTTTTGCAATCTCAAAAGCAAGCAGTCAGAATCACGCTAACTATAGCAGCATCTACCATAGGTAAAAAGGATAACCTGGAATTGTTTCTGTTCGAAGGTTTGAGGGCCATACACCGCTAATGACTCAATACTGACCGCTTTTTGCAGTGTAACATTAAAAATCTAGAAGGGCCCGGCGGGGAAAATACGACTTCCCCTTTGTTTACGATAAACAATGCACATATCATTCTTTATTCATCATTCCTTGTTGATGCTACTGTCCTATGAACTTAGATGCCAGCATTGTGAAGATTCTGTGCTCCGATCGCTAGCCTACTCGCAGGCGGGAATTCAAATCGCAATTCTTGTAAGAGGAAAATAACAAAATAGGCTCGTTTTCAATGCACAAGTGACGACATGGCACCAAATTTGCAGTATAGTTGGAGGACCATGAGCGCAAAAAAAAGTATGAAGAATTATGAGAAACTTAAGTGAATGTAAAAAATGGTAAATGTTTTTCGAAATTAGGTGGCTCCCGCGCCACCTGGGAGCCACCTGGGGTGGCTCCCTGCTTCCCTTCACATAATTTCCCGGATTTCTTTACATAAATGTGGACTAGGTCGAGAGTATTACTATATGTTTGAATCCGCTTCCAAAACCACCAAGGCACCGCTTCGATTCAGCCCCAAATAGGGTTCACAGCGTTATGATCGGCCTCGGAAAGCGCGCTCCAATCGCAATCGGTTATTGTAAATTGTAAAGTTTCGCAGCTGACTAATAAATGAGTAGTATCTCAGATGTATAAACGTCAAAGTTTGTGCAAATCTTGACCCTATGTTTTTTATAGTTTCCTTTGCGGATGAACTCATTGAGCTGAAACCTTGGAAACATACGTTTTCGGCCTCGGTAGATGGTTTTAAGCTACCCTTCGAAGCAATTCGTGGAATTCTTCTATCGATTTAATGATTTTTGGCACCTTGCAAGGAAAGTGAACACTTACCAGCCGCTAAAAAACTGTTTGCACATTTTGGTGTGAACAATGCAGTGAAGTTCATTTCCACTTTAAAATTAGAAGGTGCAGTCACTCCAATAAGCCTTTCTGAGGTAGGCTCGTGCAGGAGGGTAAGGGGTAGGGCTGCAGTGCAGTACTGATACTGCAGAAAAGGGGTGGAGAATATGGCCCAAAAGGACGCGAAGGTAGAAGGACAAAATGTGGCTTTTGGTCATCCACTCAAACGATGACCCGAGCTGGACCAGGAAAGCCGGGTAGTACTCCTCCTGTAATAAGCGCTGAGGCCGCCCATCTTATTATTTGTGTATATCTGTTTGTCAGGGACTTACGGGGTCATAGGGTCAAAGGGGAAGTCGTAAGAAATTTTGGCTTCAAAGGGGATATCGTTTTCAAAATTCTGAAATTCCACCTCCTGCCGGGCCTTGATTTAGACTGCGTCTTCCTTTGCAGCAAGTTACTCCTCAAATATTCTGTTCGCAGTCGTTCAGTTAGTATTTATTGTAATTATATGAGTGTATTTCTTTGTAGGAAAAAAAACTGCAATGGGTATATGCCCTAGCATGTATGCATTTTACAAGCAATGTTTTGAAGCTTCAAAAAGTGTCAAGTGATCTTTCTAGTTTTTAAATACTATTTACCACAAGAATCAAGTTGAGTTCCAGAGTGAGAACTGTCAGTGCTGTCCAGTATGACTGCATTAACCTCATTGCCTCAGCTGATCAAGAAGCGTTTCACGAAACAAACTCTTTCTTATACAATTTCATATCAATCTGCAGAAGTACTGACTCTTACAGTTAGAGGCAGTGTCCGGGCAAAAAGTCGATTTTGAGATTTTGTGCTTACCCGGGCCCATTCGCTATCATGAATCCGAAGATCCACACTGGAGGGCGAAAACGGCGAAGAAGCGTTCTAACATAAGAGCCTCAAGTGGGCGGGGTTCTCCCCACTGTGAAATCATGGACCCAGCTTCCGGAGTGATCTTCTCAATTCCGCTAGCTGCCCTAACATCTCCAAAGGTCAAGTGCGAATGCGTGGCTTGAAACCGGAACGGGGAAGATCGCTCCGGAAGCTGGGACCCTGAAATTACAGTGGGGAAGACCCCGCCCCTACTGATTTACCTCCTGCGTTAGAACCATTTTTCGCCGTTTTCGCGCTCTCCAGTGTGGACGGATGCAGCATAAAGAATAGGCCCTGGTAAGCACAAAATGTCAAAATCGACTTATTGCCCGGATACTGACTTAAGTTGAGACGTTCATTTGTTTAATTGGATTGATTCCTACAAAACCGCTTACAGGTCGATGAGTCTTTTCCCTTCTGGGATCGGAGTAAGCCAAAAGGAATGGAAGGAGTACCGGGAACCGGCGGAAGAGTATACACTACAGTACTTCGCGAAGTCACGATCGCCAGTATATTGGTCTTTTTGTAAGTTTTTGAGCTGCACCGATGCTTGCTGGTTTTCTAGGGCTGTTCACTACAGCGAGGGCCCTTAGGAACGTCCACATTGATTTCAAATGCGCATGTTCCAACATTGACACAAGGTCATAATGACATTGCCGCCTGCTTATGAGTTCGCGTTCGCTGTGCTCGAGCCTTGCGTCGCGTTCCCGCTTCGGATGTATCCTCTGGTTTTTGCACGCCTGAGCTGGGGGTGGCAGGCATATAAACAATCAGCTATAAATTTAATAGAATATTACAAATGGCAAAATGGATAAAATTTCTACGCGAATAAGCCTGGGGGTTGCCAGTTGCGCCACCCGCATGGGTAGAGGACTACATTTACGTCGCCGAATGTAGTAGAGTCCCCTGCGGACTTCTTGCGAGAACCCACTTCCATACATGTGAAAGGGTGCGTATTTGTTGCAGATGACCGCGAAGGCCGCCTCATTTCGGCGACATATAGTCCTCTATCCCAGCTGCATTGGTTGCATAAATTGTACGTCCTCATGCACCACTAATATAAATCTGCATCAAAGGCGCGTTCACCATTCTTCTACGTTTTTGTTGTTTTTGGGATCTTTTCGTGGCCTTGCCAGATATGAAGTGTAAAATGTCCGAAACACCTTAAAAGTATTTTGAGGGCCCTTCCCGAATAAGTAGACGACTCTGTCATAGATGGGTAAACTTGAAAGGGTGGAAGTGGTTGACAGCACTTCGATTTCAATGTCGATTCCAACTCAATTTTCCTCCTTAGGAGCCAGAAGACCAGACAGACGTAGATGCCCCACACCCGGCCTCCTTGTAGACTAGCAGCTAATCGAGAGAGCACAGGTTTTGTCTGAGCGCTGCCTTTAATGGCAGTAAGCTGATGTATTTTGTTTCCAAGCTATAAGCAAAGCGCAGAGAAGAGAAATGATTTATCCTCTATTTATTTCATGAAAAAGCAAAAGCGAACATAGCAGTATCCTTATTCCTATACTTTAGCTATTACCACATTCTGACCAAGTTCATCCTTCCGGTGTATTTTCACTTCAAAGTGCCCGTGCGTGCAAGGCCACCATTGGCCCAATCGAGAATGAAGGTTTGTTGATTCTTCCGATAATTACGTAAATATAACTAGTATATTTCAATTGGTAGTCGTTGAAGCTTTCCACGTGTTACTATCTGCCAAATTCAGACGAATTTCAGCTGTCTTAAGTTAAGATTGCGTTTCATGTCAAATGTTGAGCGTATCATAATCGTTAGTCTTCTTACTCTAAAATTTGACAAAGAAGAATCACAAGGCAAAACATCTTTCCCAAGAAATGCACACTCAAATTAGGTTAAGTTTTGGAGGAATAGTCGTTCTTCGTATCATTAGGCCTCGGAAGGGTTCACGCGATTTGATCGGCGCGATTCAATCGCTACAGGACAAGTGCTACGAGTTCATTGCATGCCGATTTTCTTGTATTTCGGTTGTGATGGTTAGTCACGATTCGTATTAAAAAACTATCACAACCGAGTTGCAAGAAGATCGGCATACAATGATATTGTTACAGTTTTCTTGTCGCGATCAATCGCGACAATCAAATCGCATCCCGAAAGTTTTGTCCGTTTTTCAAACCACTATTAAACCACGCACAATAAAGATCTGAATAAGTTTCACATGCATTCGATGCAGCTTTTCCTACTCTTTCTCAAGGATACATTTCCGAACCACAATCTTGTATGCTCTTTTTTGATAATTGCCAAAATTCTTCACCTGTCAATTTTATCTGCTCAAAGTTGGGCCAACTTTTGAAAACTTCATTCCAAAGTTTCGGGAAGGATAAAGTATGAATCAAATAGAGCAATTCTCGAACTACAAGGATTTATTATTAGATTCTCCTAATCTGCTGTTTAATCCTCATTTTTTGGCAAAGTCATGAAACATGCAACTGCGGCAAATACACGAAATCTCTTGAAGTTTCTGCGAAATGATACATGATTACTATACATCAGTTATGCAACATAACTAAGTTTGATTTGCTATGAAAAAACAGATTTTTGGAATTTCTGGTATTTTTACCCTAATTTCACGCGTACAAGGCGCGGGGTGGTCCTAGCTTTCATCGACCAGCCCGAACACGGCAAAGGATTTCGCAACCAAAGGAACCCCATACCGTGCTGCGTTTTGCCTGACGAATCGTGCGGCATAAGGATCGCTTCTTAAAACACGTTGAGGCGGCTGAGCTCGATGAAAGCTAGGACCACCCCGCGCCTTCTACGCGTGAAATTAGGGTACATGGTAAACATAGTCAAAAAGCCGCGGTTTTCATCAGTTAAATAATTATAACGGACTTGATAAACGTGGCCCATGTAATCTAAAATGTGCACAATGTTGCCAAAGGATTGCTCTACATAAGAGTCACTAGTGCTCTTTGAAAACATCAGGATAAATATTGTTATAATTCAGAAGAGATTTGACGTCACCCTAGACTGCTCAAAAAGCCATGGCGATAACATCGCAAAGACGGGGTAGTTCAGAAAGCGAATATGCTTGTAGGAAAGAGAGTAAAGATCTGAATCAAATAGTGCCTAAATCGTTCATGGATTAGTGTTCTGCGAGTTCTAATGAGCGCTGAAAAAAACGGACAAAACTTTTGGGACAACCTAATACATTGCGTTTTAGAACTGATTTTTCTCAGGAATGAATAATCATCGAAGCGGCCACTACAGATGTGTTTTACACTCTGATGATGAGCGTGATGCAGTGTTTCCTATCTTCGGTATCGAGCAAGCATGAGAACCATAGAAATTTTTGAGGGCGAACAAACAGCGACTACAAGAATTAGTGAGAACTTCCCCGAAGTTTTGATAGAGTTTGTTGATTGTTGGAGCATTCTATGCAATGAATGCTATAGTCTAACACAAGAATGCTCAAAATTACTCTATCTAAACGTTGGACCGCAACTAGTGTATTTGTTTTAGTCGCGCGTTCAGATTACTGACTAAAAAGAAAAGGGTCCTAACTAGGATCCTGGAACCGAATCAAGCTGGATATCGTTTCTGGGGGGAAAGCAAGGCGCCGGCATACAAACGACATGCTCTCTCAGACATTCTGGTTAGAAACTTTTGCAACAGAACTTTTGCATCAATCTAATATTAGTTCAGTGAATCAATAGAACAGGAATACGCCACGATCTTATATGTGCTTTCCAAAATCTCTTTTATGGGTGAAGGTAAAGAAATCAATCGCTGCCTCTGTAGGTTCGCGGAAATCTTGATACCAAGACTAGAATATTTCTCTCTTTACTTCCCTGCCAACAAATTATAAGCACCTAAAGTTATAAACAATAAAAGGGCGAAAATATGCAATGAAAGAGGAAGCTAAATAGTATGTGAAGTTACGAAATGCAGATAAAACTCTAGATGTCCTTCTTGCAGTTGCAATTGGTCCTATAGCCCTGAAACGAACTTCATGTCTATCATGGCGCAAATTTTTTCTTCTGAACATTTAGCGGTTTCTCGAATTAGCAGCTATGACCGAACCTAGAATGAAATTTTAAATAAAAATGATAGTACACAGATAAAACTTGATCAACACGATTGCTAAAGGGCCGTTGTCAAAGTGCCCTGCAAAAGCTCGCTTCTTTTTACTAAAGGCAGCTTCGATTCCTTCATGACTTTTTTGTCGAAGTGTTCGTTATCAAACAAACAGAGAATGATTGAGATAGAAGACAGTCTAGGTGAAAGTCACATTTCCCTACTTTCTGGTACCGTGGTTTGACCGAGAGTAAATAAACTATGATATTTATGCAGTAGATATGGATATATAGCGTGACCGCCATCGCTTTAGCGTATTTTGAGCTGAGGAATTGAAATTGACTGATGATTGCATGGAAATGGGTTCATTTGCAAAATTTAACTCATTTCAGCAGCCTGTTTCCAATCCTAAAAAGTCGAACAGGGAAGCGAAAGTGAGTTCAACAAAAATAATCAATTCTTTACATTTACAACCCTTTTCATTCAGATTATTGGTTGAACATAAGTCTTGCACTTTTGATTCCGTAAACTCTTTAATTTGATGAGTTTGTCAAACTAATCGGGGAGGAAAAACTCTGTATGCAAAGCAAAAAATATCCTTGAGATGTTTCAGCAGTGCGACCTGATAAAGAGAAACACTCAGAATTTCATTTCAAGATTTTAATTTCGAAAGCGTAAAGCCCAATAATAAAATTCATTTCTAGTTCCCGATTCAGAAAAGTTCATGCTGATCGATGCCTTGAAGTAGCTGTTTTGATTTCAATAAGATTGAAATTTACGATTTACAAGACACAACATAGATTCTGTGACTTGGGGAGAATAAGATACAAATTGAGCTTTTTTTGCAATTTAAATTTTTTCAGAATTTTTAGTGCAAGACTTATGATATAACCTAATGCTATTGAACAATTTATTCAGCAGCTTTCCAAAGACGGAGCTGCGAAGCATGAGATTGCACCTGAAAATATTATTATGGAAAAAACACAGAAAGCCACATCGGGATCAGGCAGTGGAGAAACAGGCACACCGGCACCGACTCCGGGACGGGTACCTGGTTCGACTTCATCGGGAGCCACACCGGGACAAGACACGCCAGCAACGCCAGCAACGCCAGCTACTCCGGAAACTGCACCTACGCAAGGGACACAGCCGCGCACGCCCGAGTGGATGTGATCGTTGAATAGTTTTTCTTTGTAACGATATTGTGACAACCTTTTACCGGCGATGTCACAAGCTTTAATGCGTTGAGTTTCTGTTTTTAGTATAAAGTTGTTTTTTGTTGCCTGCCTATGACAATTACAAAAATGAACCAACTTACCTGTTGAAAGTCGTGTTGAACTAGGCATATATATGTTAAGCGTGAGCCGGTCGAACATCACGGATCTACTTGCACAGTAAGCAGATTGTGACATTTGACCAACTCATCGTTCCGCAGGCCTATAGCCAACAATGGTACAGTGTCTTAGAAGACGAATAGCTACATTACAGATACATTCAATGGTATAGGGCCGTATGAATTGATAATAGTGCACTCTGATAAGATTAATACTCTTTATAGAGAAAAAACTCCGGCATGCAGTCATCTAGCTTTTCTCTGCTTCGTGCTGTTGAGCAATAAGCAGTAAGCACAGCCTAGTCACTGCATGTCCTAATCTGAAGTTCTACTCTGGCTTTCTTCGGCAACATTTGGAATATTACATTTTTCATCTTCAATCAATACACTCTTGGCGTTTCTTGAAGAACAAAAAACAGACAGTGACTCATATAATAGCAAAAAACACTTACTCATACACTAATCGCAACAATAAATCATCACGTAGGTTTGAGCCTACCATTTGAACTAAATTAGTAAGGATGCAGTGAATCTAAAGATTGGTTCAATGAACATTCCATATTTTAGCATTTCCCGAACTTCTCGAAAAAATCAAGAAACCACTGGTACCATATAAAAGAGCGTAGCCGAAAATAGAATACCCACAAAAATGAAAATCGGTGTCAATTTTGGACAAGCATTGTGTGCCGAGTACTTTTTTGACCGGTTCATATTTATACGAACACCTCAATCAGAGCTATTTTTTCGCTTAACCCAGCACCTTCAACATTCAAACTTTTATGTAAGGCTGCGATCTCAAAATCTGAGACATCTACTGCGCGCTGGACTTGATAAAATTTGAAAACGAGAACTTCACACAAAAAGCCACTACTTTCACAGCTCGAAATGGGCGCGGACTAAACCATCTTCAAAAATGCATGCTCTATTGAGTCTCAAAATTTATCCAACTCATAAGTTTCGGAGATAAGGGTTTAATAAATAGGCTGTGCAGCGCTCAAAAATATTGATAAATTCGTCCCAGTTGCAAACCAAGTCCCCGACTCAGCATAGGGGTAGCACACTTCTGAGCCTCAAAACTTAGCCATTTTGAGCTATGAAAGTGGAATAAAGTTCTCCTTTTGAACTTAATCAGGTTCAGTGCGTAGTAGGCACCTCAGACTTTGAGATCGTAGCCTAACATGAAAGTTTGAGTGTTAAAGCTTGCAGCTTTAACGAAAAAAGAGCTTTGATTGAGGTGTTCGTATAATTATGAACCGGCCAAAAAAACTTATGCCGCATAATGCTTCTTTTAATATGGTAAATGTTCGGTTTTCCTGAATCTTGGCATTGTTCTACACTTTTCGGTACGATTGCTGGACTTGACCAAGATTGACAAGACCAAATAAGTTGAGGTCCTCCACACCACTGGCTACGACTGGCGATCGTAATCGCCAATGATAGCGACTCCACGTTGGATGCGTGTAGATTGGGCATGTGGTAACTTGTTAACGATCAATACTTATGAAAGACACAGTCGCCGAACTGGCGATTGGCGATTGTCAGTCGTAGCGAATCGCGATCGCCAGTTTTAGCGACTACACGTTGGATAGGTATTGATTGGACTTGCAAACTGCCAGCAATCAATAGCTATCTAATGTGCAGTCGCCAACTTTAGCGACTATCGATCGGCCGTTGCCATGCTATACTACTCGAGGTGTATAGCGCCTGCCTAAGGATACCTGGTGATTCCGACCATTTATAATGGTTTGTATATTAGAAACTGCGCTTTCAATGCTGGTTCGAATACTGTTTTTCATATCTGCGAAACGAGAACCTGGATGGAGTTATAATTATTTTTCAAAAATAATTTGCGCTATTGCGGAGGGTGAAATTCATTAATAAAAATTTTTCTTTCCTCTTCAGATGCTGAATATCGTTTAGATATATAAATACAACGTTACACCTTTCAATATTCTCCTCAATAGCTTCAAGCGGTAAAATAGATCAAATGAATGATTTTAACTACCTAAAAGCACGCAAATTTCCTACGAAAAAAAGTTCGTAAGTGTTTTCAAATAATCGTTTCGCAGATTTCGAGCATAGATTTAAAATTAGCGTTTCGAGATGCACCTTATGGTATACATCGCATTCCACATGGTCAGGGTCGCCAAGTATCCTTTCCTTGTAAGACCCAACGTTTTTTGCATATCTTTCAAAAAGTATGGGAAACGGCAGGACGTGGGGTGTTCGTGTAATTGTGAACCAACCTTATATGCGAGATCATTTGCTGGCGTAATAATTCAGCACTTTGAACAAATATGAACTCCGAGAAGTATGTGTGCAGTGGTACATGTGAGCTTACTCAACATCAGCGCTGCAGTAGGTGAGACAATAGTCATCAGAGCCACGACTGGTGGCACCAGCGCTTCAAAACGGAAAATATAATTTGAACGTTTCCCAGTACAAGACCCTTGTGATTTGCTCGTATGTGAACTACCCTAATTTCCGGGGTATAAGGCGCAGTAGCTTTCACCGCGCGCGGACTGATGTGCGATGACGTTCGCGATGCGCGGCACCGCACAAGCTGCCAACAGCAAATCTCTACCTTTTCTTTTATCAAGAATGACAAGAATAAAACAAAAACAGCGCCTTCAAAGTATCAGTAGTATCACTTTAAAGAGAGGACCGTTTCAGTACCAGCAGTGTTATTGGAAACGAAGAAAAGCACAAAATGCAGCACAGGCAACATCACTGGAAACAAAAGAAAGAATCACCTACCTGAAGGCATGATTTATAAGAAGTGAAGAATAATTACAGCACTCTGAGTCTTTAGCTTTCTAGATTCAGAGAGCAATCATTTAAAAAGCATTTTCGCGCCATTGTTCGCTGCGGTGGGTGCGCCTTATACAAGGTGCGCCTTATACCCCGGAAATTAGGGTAATACTATCTGATTTACACCTAACAGAATTTTTGAGCTATTCAGCCATATGCAGTCCTCAATTTTTCTTTTTGGTGTTATAGAAGAAAATATGATCTTTAGGATTTTTGCACCAAAAATTGCATGTTGCAAGCTTATTATCATTTTCGATTGAATGATAAACTCATAAACTTTGAATCTTTCCAAAAAACGAGAAGCGCCCTCTCATGATGGGTTCATTTGCTTAAGATATAGTAACGCGAGTTTGAGAGATGTCCAACAAACTCTATTCGACTCTTCGGAGGGCTACTTCAAGGATTGTAGAAGAAGGAACCAACGGATTTGCTTCGGATGAATTTGGCAACTCAATGTTGTAATAGTGTGGTTGACATATGCCGCTCACTTAGAGTGGCAACAGGTTTGCAAGCCATATATGACCGTATTGGTTTGATCCCAGGCTGTTTAGTCCCACAGCAGAGAGGTGACGTATGGTATGCCAGGATCGATTCACCTCCTCACATGTTTATCATGGCGCCACTTATATCGGAGTGACCAGCCGCCTCTGTTTTCGTACAAAAAATTGGATGTAAACAAGCTCAAGCTCTCTACACCTTTAGGGCAACATAGTAGAACACGATCCGAGAACGATGACATAGTTATTAAAGATTTTGTAGTTTGCGCTTTAGATCCTGACACGCGAAAGCTAGGATGCATTTTTAAAGGCTGCTAAGTATCCAAAACTGAACCAGGAAATGAGTACATCGTTGCCATCGAGCCCACACGTTATCAATTTCACTCCTCTGGTTCTGCTTGAGGTCAGGTGGTTGGCGCATGGAAGTGAGGTTCAAGCACAGTTTCACAGATGGTCTCTTTCTCATCCAACGTTAGTGGTAGTGGTGGGTAAAATATTTCTGGCTCTGCTTTTTTCTGGCTCACACTAACACAGTGGGTTGATGTGCTAAAGACCCTCCCCTGAGATCACATTAATAAAAAGCGTTCGGTGATTTGTGCTGTTCTGTAGGGTTGATTAAAGCTAGTTCTATAAAGTGTTATCCAGAGGCTCAATATGTTGAAAAGGGAGAGAAATTCTAATGATCGAGCAGTATATGCTGAAGGCTCCGAGCTCGAGTGTCAATTGATTTTGGCATAGTTTTGTATCTTTTAGTTGTCTCCTACGGCAAAGAATGGTTAGAATCCTTTCAGAGTCAGGGTGCTGAGGTTACAGTGCCATCACCTTCGCTGGAGCTTGGAATCGAATTTTATAGCTGCTTGTCCTCTCAAATGCTTTATCTGAGCACAAGGGTACATATGACTCCAAGGACCGGCAACACGGCCCGAATTTTGCCTCTGCAGACTTTGAATCGAGTAGAGCAGCTAGCTGACACCGTCACTTACGGCTAGGAAGAATGAATGTGTTATAGTGTAGATTTAATTTGATCGTAAATATTTGCATAAAAAGTCTCATGAAGTCATTCAAGTCACCCAGCCCCTCCCTGCTACTCGCTTTGGGAGCCTTGCAACTTATCCTAAATGGATGCTATGCATAGTTAAGGGGTACCGCATTTATTGTAGATCTTAGATGACAGGTGCCCTTCCATCTTCACACCTAATGCTCACCACTTTCTCCTATGTACTGCTCCACGCAGGACTGGCGAGTAATTAGGTAAATCAACTCTCTCCATGCAATCATCTGGCTGCTCAGATAGGCAGGGCCCAGCACGAGGTGTGCAAATGTCAAGCTGGAAATCGTGGATGGAAAGCAAAGACATGTACAAACACTCTCAACTTACTACAAGACTAACATACAAGAACACAATCTTGCTCGTGCGTCATCTTCAAAAGTTCAATCCTTGTTGAGCAGTAATTCAATGTTTTGGTTACAGCGCACACATAACGGCATGACTAATTTGGAGTATAAGCGGGCATGGGCTAGGAGGAGCATAGTGCAGAGTATTGCGGAAAAGTATGTTACTAAAAGTTGAAGCAAGCTATTTTCTAAAAATTTCCCACTATTACAA